GACGGAGCCCTGAGGCCAGGGGTTTTAGTCTGAAGCTATTTTTCATCTATCCATGCAAACCATCCAGAAATTCTGGAGATGTTTTCTTTTGTCAAAGCTCAGGGAGTTCCACTGGTGCCTGCTAAATGGGGACTAAGGTTGTGCTAACACACAGGGCAAAAGTCAGGCAGAGAATCCCCTGACCACAAGTGGAAGTTGTGTTTCCGCCAAGGAAACCTTCTGCAATCTGGTTTGGGTCTTCCAGCTGCTTCCAACCTGGGAATGGGGGTGCCCCAAAGACTGAAGAATTCTGCATCCTGCTCTTTTGGGGAAGAATATACTCCAGTACTCCAAGCTATCAGTGTGGCACGGGTAGTACAGCCTCTCTGCTCAGAGCTGCTCTGAGAAGCAGGGGCATGACTGAGAAGAGGTGCTGCAGCAGGCTTCCCAGAGAACTGGGTAGGACCCTGTGAAGGTTCCGCACATACACCCTCAGGCAGGAAGAACCAGGGGTCCCCCTTCTTGCTCTTTCCATTCCCACCTTTCTCTTCTGTCTGGTTCCTCCTGCCTTGTCTTCCTGCGTCTCCCCCGCCCCACCCCCAAAGATTAATGTGATAATTGCCATGTGTGCCTGTTTACACAGGGAGTGGGTGAGCTTGCCACCCCCAATCAGGCAGGTTCCCAGAGAAACGCGTTCTCACAGTGTCAGGACGGGTACCTGCTGAGCACTCCTGTGCAGGTGGGCTGCCACCCCCGAACTTCTTTCTCCGTCTGTCATTACTTTTGTCATGTGCACGTGTGCACGTGTGTGTCATTCAGTGAAGCGGCAGGTGAGAAGGAGGGGAAACAGCCAGAGCGGCACCAGGAGAAGGGTCAGGCAGAGAAATCACTGTGCCTTGTAGGTGCATCAGTCCTTAAAGAAGAGGACAGAGATCCAGTGAAAAGCTCTCCTCTGCGAGCTGTCAGACAGTGGGCATGCTAGGGTGCCCCAGAGAAAAAGCAATAGGCCATGAGGGAGAGGGTTTAGTAGGAGAACTGCACTTGATTAGGAGGCTAGGATGTGCACATGAGGCTGCAAGCCAGTGAAACCAGCAGCACATCTCCCTCCAAATCAGCTTTGGAACAATGGAGGATGATGGTACAACCCCTATACCAAGGCCAAATAAAATCCTGCAGTTATTTTGGAGGGGGGAGCGGGCACTGGTACAAGTCCCAATGTTAAGCTCAGCTGGAGTTCTAATGCCCAAGGTCAGGAGAAAAATAGCCTCCAGCTCTAAGGGAGGAGTCGAAATACTGTTTGAGCATGTGCAAGGTCTGTTATTGCACCTCTTCATTTCCTGTCTAAGCCCTAGCAAGTGGGAGGCACCTGTAATCTTGTTGCGATGTCTTCCATACAAGCACATTTTCTCTGGGTATGACATATCACACAGACCAAGCTTCATCAGTCACCCAGGCATCCCTCAGTTCAAAGGTAATCACTGTAGCAGGTGTTCCATGGGTGTCTTATGAAGAAGCTGCTGCGCTCTGGGTAGCATTCATTTCAGGGAAGGGCCTGATTCACACTTAATTGTTTCCCATTGGAGGTCTAGGTGGTGATGGTTTTCCTTTGTAGCTCTCCTAGGGTTGGAATCCAGCAGAATATACATTGGAAGCTACAGTTTTGTGCCTCAGGATTTTACCTGAAGACCTTAGCAGGGCTGTCTCATGTTCTTAAAGTTAAGACAAGGTTTGAGTATCCTATATACAAATGTGCCCTGTGAGCCCTGTGATGGTCAAAGACACGGTGAAGGAGAATGAAAAGGAGAGTTTCTCCTTTTTCCAGGCTGTGACCTCCTGCCCCGTCTAGAGAGAGTCACGTGTCCAAGCACAAGAGAAAATGACCATACTTCATGGCCACACTGGCAGTAGCATCCTGACTCCCACTTTGCGCTCTGTTAGGATGCTTGCTGCCTTCAGAGTTGTTGATTGCTTCTTTTTAAAAATCTCAAAATATACTTTAGTAGACATCTCTCCTACACTGGACAATTTTAAGTTTTTAATAATGATGAATCAGAAGGAGACGAACGCTCAGAAAGAACTTGGCTATTTTGAAGGAGGGAATCGTGCGTGAAGCGCCTTGGCTTGCCCACTCTCGGATGAGGAGTGTCCCCTTCATCTGCCGGCTGTGGGTCTGTACAATAAGCATGTGAAGAGATGGGAAGCCACCGTGTCAGAAGGGCAAACAGGAAACTATGTGACAGGAGCTGGGTGTGGAGAGAAAGCAGGGGCAGCGTGAAAGGCTGCCAGTAATGGTGGGTGCTGTCAAGCCACTCTCTCCTGGGGAACCTCTTCAGGTGTCAGTTGTTCCCTTAACCCCCCCCCCCCAGGGCTCCATGTTGCTGGGGCTCATGCCTTCACAGCCATTTGCTTCCCCTTCTCTTCCCCATCTTCCGTTTTCTTCTTCCAGGATGCTCCGTCGCTGAAGTAGATGACACATGTAGCCATTGAGAGAAAATTCCACAGATGGAGCGTATTATCAGAATGGATTTGTATTGGTCTATTTTTAACAAGGGAAGCATCATATTCAAAGTGTGGCCATTTATTAATTACTTCGGTGTGTGCCAAAGTCTCTGTAGCCTTCCAGATATTCAATTGTTCAGATAGTTAAAAGCAGATCCCAAACATTCTCGCACAGCTCTGACTGGACCAACACAGTTCATCATGAGTGTTTTGTAGCAGAATCAGGAAGCACATTCCAGACTCTTAGCCAATAAGGGGCATTCTTTCATCCCTATGTCTTATGGGACATATTCTCTGATGTATTAATAGATTTTCTTTGAAAAAAAGTTTTACAACCAAGAAAGTTTATGAAATGGCATCATAAAGTCAGCAATATATCTTCTCCCAGTTCTTCTCACTGCCTGGGAAACATATATAACCTGCTGTATCCCCTCACTTCCTCCGCTTACCAAAGCCATTTTCCACAAAATGCCCTCATTACCTTTGATCAATCACGGCAATGTGGAGCCCACAGAGAACACAATGTTTTACATGGGTTTAGCTCTGTAGCCGTCCTAGCTGCTCTTCCACCAGAGCTCAGCTGGATGTCAGGGATGCCCCAACAGCCACAATCCCATCACTGCCACTGCCGATACGGGTACATTTAGGAGCAGCTGAGCTTCGGTCTGGGTCCTTGGTGTAAACTTAGTCCCTGTTGCCAAAGAACATCGGAGGGGACTGGCAACACCATATTGTGTATGGATTGTGTTCATCTGGAGCCACCAGCAAACCACTGAAGTGAACCGGACTTTAAATAATATTTGACTTCTAATCCTGAAGACAGGCAGAGCTAGCCCTGCAAGGATCGTCAGTCTCTTCTTCCTTAGCTCACAGCAAGGCCCTTGCTTCAGCCATCTTAGACACATCTCCTTCTCCTGTCCTTTACACCCCCAGGGGCTCTCAGCATCTGGTTCTTCTGCATCCTCCTTCTGATGATGGGACATGGCTTTTGATGAGATTTGCCTCATGTCCGCTCTACTTGTATCTAACCCAGACCTGGTTAAGCCAAAGACCTAAGTCTCAGACACTGACGTTGGCAGCTCTTCATTCCGTCCAGTTGTTAAAACTGTTTTATAGCTTATATATTTGTGTTGAGTTTTTGATTCAACTTCAGTTGCACTCATCTCATCTGCAATCAGTGCAGGCCAAAACAAAAACCACAAGTTTGCCAAGAGGGCTTGGCTTTGAGATTATTTTTAATGGGCGATCTGAGTGTCCAGTGACAGCAGTGATGATCAATCAGCAGATATATTATGTAGCTTGACACTGAATGGAGAAAGAAAATGAGATAATTGGGGAGAAGAAAAGGTTGGATTACAGAAGTGCACAAGATACATGAGGACAATCACTTTAAAATATATCTTCAAGGTCTAGTGGTAAGGAGGAGAAAGAGGAACATAAAAAGATGAGTCAACAATTGCCACAGACATTCTGAGCTCTGATTTTAATTTTATTAAGTCGGCACATTAGCTTTAGGTATGACATTTGATCTTGATGGTTCTGATTTCCCCAATGAAATGCGGATAAAATATCTCTTGTGAGTTTCAAATTGACATTGAAAGTGATGCATTAGAGGTTGGGTTAGGGGAAGGGGTCTAAGGTCTGCATATGAAGTACAAATCCATAAAATCCCTTTGAAAAGACTTAGGCAGAGAGAACCTAGAGAACAGAAAGAGCTCTTTGTTGGGAGACAAGGATGTTAGAGAGAGCAACTCAGTTTTTACTGAGTTCAATTTCAAGGGTCTCATAAGATAGGACAAGTCATCCTTCCCCAGTTCTGGGCACTTCAGCAATTTTGCATCCAACTTGGAGCATAAGAATCCATAATACAGATGTCTGTGCCTTTTTTCCACTTTTTGGTATCAGTATGAGCTAGGGGAGAAGGAAAAAAAGAGATCAAGAGAGATCAGACAATCTCATGGTCTGAAGACTCTTCAAATCTAGATATAATCCTTCTTGTGCCTAGGGCTTTTCTGGGTCCAGACCTGGACCAGCACTGTAATATAGGACCATGATGGAAGAAGGAAAGTCACCCCAGGAGCTGGGAAACATAATGTGAACCTAACTCCTTCTAAGCAACTCTACTGAGGGCTAATGGGCACAGCCTGCCTTTGTGTTTTGATAATCTATCTTGTTTAAGAGTGCAAAGGTTGAGAATACATGTTACCAAGAAGCCAATTCACCTTTTTATAACCTTGGAAATATGTTTTGGCATTTTTCCATTCAGTTTTTGAATCTTCTAAGTAAGGGTGTTCGAACTTTCCCACTCAGGATATTATAGAGCTGCTGATATGACCTTCACTAGGCACATGTCAGAGTGTGAGTGGTCTTACAATAAAGTGAAGTGGGGATGGGGGGAGATAATGTTTAACTGTATCACACTGTGATTGTTACATCACCCTCTGTATGAAAGCTGCCAGACTGTAGGCTTTGCTTCTGGGAGTTGGCTTTAAATATTAAGAACCCATTTTTCTTTCTTTCAGACCAATGATGCCTTAGGAGCCACCTGGAATTGGCTGTACTTCATCCCCCTCATCATCATTGGATCCTTCTTTGTTCTCAACCTTGTCCTGGGAGTGCTTTCAGGGTAAGCAGTCTCGCTCTTCTTTTGTGGGCTACTAGGGGAGGGCCAGTGCCTCCTGATTCAGGGCAGTTTTACTCACTGAACCATCACTTAGAGGACACTGTGCCAATGCCGTTCTAGCTGCTTCAGTCCAGTAACAAATGATTGTTCTAATTGCCTTGATTATTTTTAGACATTAAAAAGCTTTATGTCATGAAGAATTCTGAACAAAGTATCTTGTGAGTTCATTTATCTATCCATATCTTCATGCAATGACTCTATGCCAAACCTTGTTCTGTTGTTAGGGACATAAAGTTAAAGAAGATATAGATTTTATGCTTGCTTAGCCCGATGGTGGTGGTGCATGCCTTTAATCTCAGGACTCCGCAAGGCAGAGGCAGGTGGATCTCTATGAGTTCAAGGCCAGCCTGGTCTACAGAGCAAGTTCCAGGCCAGCCAGGACTACACAGAGAAACCCTGCCTCGAAAAACAAAAGCAAAAACAACAACAAAAAAACCCTGTTTGATTTGCAGTATATTGGACATCACATCTCATGTTTATGACTTGAATTCTTTTATACCAATTTCTATTGCCCAGTGTCTAACATGCTTTGCCGAGAAGACATTTTTGTTATTGGAAACAGGGAGAACAGATCTTGTTTTTACCAACAATGTGAAGTACAATAATTTGTTTGAGAGAAGAAACAAATCTCTCCAGTCTGAAGTCATTAGGGTTGGTGTCAAATAGGACAGGGAATTGGGTGGAGGGTAAGCTAAGTGTTAGAATAACATACAAAAACATTGTATACGGAGATAAACATGCTAGAGAAGATGAAGAAATGGGACATGGCATGGGGTGCAAAGAGGCTAAACTCTGACATTTTATGACACCTCACTGAGCAGGATTGGGGTAGTGGTGGTGATGATGGCAATGGTTTCGTCAATTCGCGTAAGCTCTTCAAATGATAGTTTGTAAAAGTATCTTTGTGTTTACATGTGGCAGGTTGAAATAAGTTGGGAATTTTTTTTTTTGGAATTTTTTTTGACATTGTCACGGAAACAAGAGGCCTAAGTGACAGTCCAGAAGCTGAATGTCAGCTCCCCAGCTCACTTCTGTTTTCTTACAAAAGCGGCTATCTGGCAATAGTCTAGAGGATTCTCCTGTGAGGATTCTCTTTAAAGAGGAAAGACCTATCTATCACAGTCTGATGAGCTTAGAGAAATGGGTTCCCATCACATCACCCCTTGTAAAGCTCACTATGTTCATTCCTTTGGCTATCACAAGAAACTACCACGACCCAGGTGTAAACCAACGGGAATTTTATTCCCTGATAGTTTTTGAGTTGCAGGTTCCAGATTGGGCAGGTTCACGCTCCCTCCAACGGCCTGAGCGAAGTAGGTCTTCCTTCTTCCAGCTTTGGTAAACCCAGGCATCCCTCGAATTGTCACTGTGTCATGACTCCAGCCTCTCCCTGAGCGCCCACACAGCCCCTTCCCCTTCCCATGTCTGTCATCTCCCTCGGTGTTGCTCTTATAAGGGTACTTGTGGTTTGATTTAGCATCATTGGATCATCTAGTTGGATCTCTTCTGAATATACTTAACTTTGCTCTATCTGCAAAGACGCTTTTTCCAAATAAGGTAACATTCAGGAGTTCCAGGAATTCGACTATGAATGGATTTTTTTTTCTTCACTCAACAATTTCCGATGATGGGTGTGGAGCTTCTTCTGCTTTGCTCATAGTGTGAACACACAGCCAGGAGTCATCAGCATTTGAGGAGAATGCCCCAAATGAAAGTCCCTGAGTAATGTAATGAATAGACAAAAGAAACCTGAGTATGAATGGTGCAGATAGTAAGAGATATTTTAAAAATTCACATTTGCTGCCAGGAGAGAGAGAGAGAGAGAGGGAGGGGGGAGAGGAATAACTTCATCTACAAAGTAACAGCTTATTACAAAAAGATGTTGAGATTAAGAAGAGCTGTTGCAACTATATGTAAAATGTAATTGATGTAAAAGTATGCAAAGTTGAGGTCATATAAAAATGTAATCAAATGAAAAGATAGTAAAGTGGGAGTATAAAATTGAAGATACCACTTAGAAAGGGGGTAGGGAAGAGACAGACATACAGAGAGAGAGAGACAGAAAGAGATGAGCATAGATAGACAGAGACAGTTACTGATTCAAAGAGCAGGAGACTCATATTTCTAAGGTCCGTCTGGACTATATAGTAAGCCTTGTTTCAAAATATGTACAATTGATTCAACATTTTAATAAGAGAGTTCAATAAAGAGAACAATGAAATAGAAAGGAAGAATCAACATAGGAAAATATGACAGATGTTCCCAGAGCCAAAAGACTCACCATTGATAGATGAAAAGAACTGTTGAGACGTGTAAAGATGCTCTTTCCACGGTGGTTTCTTGGCACTGGGCATGGAAAGCATCCCGGGTGTCCTAAGCTGGGAGATTAGACATGTAAACTGTTAGATGTATACCGTGGCATGTGATGTATCAATTAAGAGCAACAGATACCATGTGTACACGGAGTATAGGGTATCTTAAGAATGGCTCAGTGCAAACAAGGAGACAATGTTTGTAAAAATATATTCACATGAAAAGTTATACATTGGCAATGTTGTAATAGCTTATGCGGCTATAGAATGCGGATGTGTAAACTAACCATGAAAATGTCACCTGAGCATCAGAGCATCCAGTTAGAGGAAATCACGCCAAGTGAATCACCATGAATTTCAGACCAACAGAGAAAAGAATGTCCTGAAAGTTTGTGCCACTGGGAAATAGGGTTAGTGTTTAGTTATAAAGAATCGGCAAGCCAGTGAGCTTCTCAGTGGCAACATTGAAAATCAGAAGACAATACAGAAGTTCATAAAACTTCCTAACAGGAAAATGACTTTCACGATCAAATGCTCTGCCTAGCCAGAGTGCTAGTTACCTGTGGGGATCGAGTGGCAATGTTGTCAGGTACCTTTGAAGAAGCAGTCACTAAAGAATGTGAATCACAAGAATGAAGAATCATGGAGCTGGGAGATAGTTCAAAGTTTCAGAGAGGACCAACATGGCAGCTCACAATTGTCTGACATCTGCAGGGTCTGCACACACTCACTGCACAGATGTACACACAGGCAAATAGTCACATACATACAATAAAATAAAGCAATAAAGCAGAATAAAATAAACCTCAAAAAAAGCAAGAAGAAAAAAAAACCCCATGATACTTATAAGCACAGGGATCCAGTAGAGGACAAAGACAAAGGAATTGATGCCCTGTATTGTAGTAAAATAGAATTAGGGCAACAACTCTCAGTGACTGAGATGGTACCAGGATTAGACTTAAATAGGGTGACAGAGGGTCCTAAAAATGCTGTCTTTGGGAGACAAATAAAACTAATATACTCCCTGGTGTGTTATATTCTTAATGGTCCTGTTATTTGTTTTGGTCCAAACTAAATACATACAATAATCTATTCATTCTTTCTCTATTCATCTCTGTCTCTCTTCTTCTCCATCCCCCATTACCCCAACTTAAGCATTTAATTCACAATATACAGAAGTAGTATTTCTAAAGAAATAGAAACACAGCGAGTCCTCTGTGCAGCTCAGCTGCCAACCTGGTTTCCATTGTTGATGCTGAAGTCAGAGTTAGCCTCTCATGGTGTTGCGATTGCCTTCATTAGATTGGGGGAGGTTGAGTATGGGGGAAGAGAATAGGGTATCAAAGACCAAAATCTTAGGTTCCACAGTAAGCAGATCATTAAGCAGTTTCTGAAATTGAAAGACAAAGGAATAGCAGTGTTTTAAGTATAATATTTAGAAAATTTGAAATCAATAGCAAAAGAAACAGAAGAGTTGAAAGCAGCTGCCTCTGGAGAGTGAGATTCTGGGCTTGGAAAAGTGAGGCAGAGGGCTGCTATTTCTCCATTACGATCTTTCGAAATTATTTGACTTATAAATTTCTATGTGCATGACTCTGAGAAAAAAATAAAAACCTTAAATTTTGAATCAAAATTCTCATCAAACAGGTGTAGGATGGACAGAGGGTCCAAGGACAGTTATCCAGCACCATCGAGCATCAGCAGGGAAGGGCTGACATGGGAGGGGGAGAGCAAGGATGCAGTTGTGCCAGTCCAAATGTCACAGTAAGAAGTGTGGCAGAGGAGAAGAAATGGGGACACTGGGAAGAAGCGCTTATCAGTCTGTGAATATTTAGTTTAAGCCAGTTCTGTGGCCATCAGCTCCCCTCTGGCTGGGAGACCATCTTCTTGGATCAGAAGATGTCAAGCTACTGACTTGGCAGATGCCTCTTTACTATCTGAGACCTAGGTAGTGGTGTTGGCAGCTGGGAACAGCTGGTATGAATAAATTCTGACATTTAAAGGAATGTTAACAATAAGGACTTTGTGAGCTGGGGCTGAAATACTTCTGTTCTGGTTGTTTTTTCCCCCGTGTCCTACTGCTGCCGTTTGTTGCTCAGCATTGGGAGCACTGGTGTCTGCAGAGGACTCGACACTGCTGGGTCCTTTGTATAGAAGGGGTCATGGGCTTTCTCTGCTGCTGAATCGGTGAGCCTATGCTTCTGGAATAGACGAAACCTTTCCTTGGAGTGCGGCTTTAGCTGGGATTCACACATTGAGCCACCTGGTATATAGCTTTGAACATTTTGTCTCCAGGGAGCAAGCTGCAGTGACCTGTGAGCATATTGAGTGTTATGTGCCAAGGTGATTGTAGGAGTGAAGAAATCAGTGATGAGAGGAGATGCCCAAGCCTCCCTACATTGAATCAGGGTCCCCCGGCATCAAGTATGCAAATGACTGAAGGCCCCATCCCTAGAGGTTCAGACATTGATGAAAAACTGTGAGTTGTTTGTTGACTTCATATTTAAAAAGGAAAGATGGATAGAAGCATTGTAGCATTTTTTTACGTGTCTCAGAGGAAATAGGATTTGATGAAAACCATTAGCTTAGGCTTGAAGAGAAGCAGAGCTTCCTGTCTCCATGGCAACAAAC